TTGTTTTTTATGATCATTCATACAGCCTTTTCTCTATGATATAAGTAATGCTGATTCTGTGGACAAGTATTAATAACATTTTTAGGATTCTGCTACTGGAAGTGTGTCATGTTAATAATGTCAGACTAGCATACTAACTAATTTAAGTTGCATTTAACTGTAACTTGCAAAGTTGTTATTTAAAAAAACCCAGATTCATGATTATATTAAAAATAGACATATAACTTAAAAGCTGGTTGGAAGTCTTGGAGAATTGGAGGGGAGGTGGTGGTGGTGGTGGTGGTTTTGTGGTGGTTTTGGGGGGTTCGTTTTGTTTTAAAGTTGCATCTCCAGTCATCTCCTTTGTGGTTTATAATTGATTTTTTGGTGGAATTCTCTTTCTCCTTGAACATAATCTTCAAGAAAGGAAGACATGGAGTGCTGATTAAGATTATCATCAGCATTTCAGTATCAGATATTTTCCAGAAAAGAAACAGCTAGTGAGGTAACAGATAAGTAACAGCAAGTTTCACATTCCAAGAATTCTTTTTATTTTGTTTCCTCTGCGTCTCGCACTTTTTTTTTCTCTTTTGGCTGGAGCTCCTTTTCTGAAAGGGGATGCAGTTAATTTGGAAACTTGTAAGATGCATGGAGGGGTTTGGTATTCCTCTTCCAAAGCATTACTTTGCCTATATGGCATGAAAGTATGTTTGCTGTCATGGAAGATAGCTCTTTTCAACTTCTATTTTAAATTCCTTTGTATCGAAGTTTCTTATTAAAAAATTCTAAAGCCTTTTACATCATTGGTGTAATCTGTCTGGATTAAAACACTGAAAAACTCTGCAGACAGGAACCATGGTGTATTTGCATAATTGTGCAACTCAGAAACATACCTGCCAGTGAAAACTGGTATATTGCAGTGTGATGCAAGTGAATAAACCTACATTCAGCAGTAGGCTAGATTTATTTTTTCCATTTCCACAGTGTTAGCAGTAGACAAAAATTGACAAGATTTTTTATTTTTTTCCCCCTTTCTTGTCCCCTATTATCTTAGACTGATTTATTTTTTATTTGTTTAAGTGAAATTTATATTCTGGATTTTCTTAGTGTCTAGGAGGGAGCTGACTGTGTATTTATCAGGAATTTGATTTACAGAAAAATTTCCTGGTAACAGTGTGACTGTAAGCATGTCCTTATCCTGCTCTTCATTTTAAAACCATTCTTCTTGTATAGGTATGACAATACCTGTATTAGTATAGTTCTGCTATGGTTTATTTGCTGTGGTTTATGATTGTGTGATTGAACAAAACTATTTCATGAGGGCATGGCCTTTCACAGAAGAGATGTGCTTTTACATTGATGCTAATTTTCAACTAACTGTTTTTAATGAGATTATTTCCATGTTCCACTGCTGACTACAGTTGCAATATCATGATTTTCTGATTTTTTTTTTTTGGTGGAACTGAATTTTATTGAAAATTTGTTTACACATTAACAAAATTAATTAGATCTTAAAAGCAACCGTAAAATTATTTTTTTTTGCATTACTTTGTTCATGAACAATTTATCTGGCTATTTGCAGAAGAAAAAAGCCAAGAAAGAAGCTCTGAAGTCATTCCACTTTTGGGAAACACATCCAATTGCTTCTACAATTAATTGTATTGCAAAGTAATTTCTGATTAGTAAGACATTATTTATTAAGGGTGCTAAGAATCATAATACAGGTTATGAGTGAAATATTGTCTCTTTGAAACCCTAAAATTCTGTGATTTTAGTGGCATCAAACAGTTCCTATAGTGTGAATTATTATTTTTGACTCACTAACAATGGAAAAGATTTAGGCAAATAAGTTTTTATCTACCTCACAAAAGAGTAGTATTGCCTACAGTAATCTACAGGCTTTGTGAGCAAGCACTTTGATCACCTCTTTCAGGTTACTGGTGAAGATATTAAACAGGACAGCTGCCAGTATAGACCTCATGGTACTCTTGTAGCTGGCTTCTAGGTAGAACACAACCTATTAACCACTACCCAATAAGACTGATCATAGAACTAGTCTTTTACCTTGCTAGTTGTCTGTCTATCCAGACTATGATCCATTAAGCTGAATGCAAAAATATGGGAGACAGTGTCCAAAGCCTTGCTAAAGCTGTAAATGATACGCACTCTTCTTTATTCAGCCACAAATCTAATCATTTTCTCACAGAATGTGATCCATTTGATTAGGCATGATTTCCTGTTAGTAAATCCCCACTGACTGTTCCCAGTTAACTTTTCCTTCATAGAAAATATTTTCCAGGAAGGCTTCACCATAACTTTCCCAAGGAACAAAAGTGTGGTTGTCAAGCCTGTAGTGCCTTGGTTTGTTCTCTTGGTCTCATCTTGACGATGAGTACAATATTTGCCTTTCTCTATTTGTCAGGGATCTCCCCCAGTTTCCATGAATTTTTTGAAGATGCTAGAGAGTGGTCGTGCAAGGACATCAGCCAGTTGTTTCAACACCCTTGGATGCAGCCTGTTGAGTTTCATGGGTTTGTAAGAGTTCTTGCAAGTAAGCCTTGACTCAGTCCTCACTGTTAATAGTCCTCTTGCTTGAATCCTCTCATTAAGCACAGAGGCCTGAGAGACCGTGTCACTGAAGACCAAGGCAAATACTTGTTTCCTGTGTAGTTCAGATTAACTTGGATTGACGCTCAATTGCTCTGACTTTATGATGACAGTGTGGATAATTTCTATGCATACCTTCTAGTTATGTCAATCTGCACTATTATTCTTCAAATGAAATATTACATGACATACGTGACAGCTTACTTTTCTAAACAAACTCTCTATATCCTAAATACTTACATTAATGAAGATACATGAGAAAGCTCTTTTTCATTCATCGTGTGTCGTGTGCAGATGACACTACTTTGCAGAGAAGCTGTGAAGTTCTAATGGTAATTTTTATGGGACTGTTTCACACTGCAGGTAGAATCCTCTCACACAGTTCTTATGGTGTGAATTATTGTTTTTGACTCACTAATAATGGACAATATATGGACAAATAAGTTTTTATTTAACTTCAAAAAAATAGTGTTCTTAACTACAGTAAACACCATTGTTTGAGTTGTGTTGTCCCACACAGACTGGCTGGGAATGTGTTCTTTATTTCTTTAGTAAACACATAAAGTATGGTCAGGATGTTCTGCTCAGGTACTCTAGTCAAAAAGATCTGTATACACGCTGATGTGCTTGGTGAAAGAGCATCAGCTTCTGGGAGAAAAATCTTGAAGAACCTCAGATACTGTAAACTAAATCTTATTTTTTAAGTAGAATTTTTCTGGGAGTGGAACTTGTAAGGAAAATGCAAACTTTAGTTTTCGTATTATGAATACTAATCCTATCAGACCTTGGAAGATGTCCAGGATTTCAAACTATGAATATTTTCACTTGTTTATGAACAGCTTTTTGTACTGCAAAATAAATAGTTAAAATATTTCCTGTTCCAAAACCACTATTAATTAATGTAAGAAATAAGAATACAATAAAAGAAAATTTCTTTCCGTCTAAGACTTATTCTTGGTGAAAAAGATAAAAGCTAAAGTGTTAGAGAAATGATAGTGTGCCTTATAAATGCCATTGTTTAGTCCTTACATAGCTTTGATTCCATATGGATTTGTAACACTTGTTGCTAAACCTCAAAAAGAATCTGAGTTTCATTTTTGCTTTATCACCAGAAGTCCAGACGCTTTTTGGAACTTCTACCAAATTATCGTGTGTCTTAAATTGCTAAATTTGCCTAGTTGTATTATGAAAGAAGGTGTCATAGGAGCTCTGGCTTTGCTTGCTTTTAAGGCAGCCTAGAGAAAGCACTGAGGTACCCATAGAACCCTGGAAAATAAAACTAACTTTGAAAAAAAGAAACAGAAACAAAGCTGTAGTTAAGCAGAGTGCTTCAAGCTTAGCTTGTCTTGGTTAAAGGATCAATTCCATTTTTATTTTTTCCAAATCAGCTTTCTAGATCAATATCCTGATCTTTGTGTTTTGGTGGTGTTGCGTGGTGGTTTTTTGTTTTGTTTTGTTTTTTTTCCCCTCCATTGTCTTCAGCGAACAAGAACTTCAACCTGATTTTTGATGGATGGTTGCTCCTTCATGTTCTTGAATTGATTGCCTATTTAAATCACAATGTTTTCAACTTCCTAATAAATGTCTGCAAATAGGGCCTAAAGCAGATTTCCTAATGAGTCATTTTGCAATGCTCTTTTAAACAGAAAATTATGCAAGAAGTTTGTGTTGTGTAATCATCTTTTTAATCTTTCTGACTCTCACTAAAGAGATTTAATCCATTTCCAAGTCACTGGCAACTTCAACAAAAAAAAAATTACTGATGTTTTTAGTATGGTGCTGAGTTTTTTTAGTGGTTGTGGTTTTCTTTGGTTTGGGACTCGTAATAAAAAGTGCTAAATCCCCTCAGGGATGTGGCTGAAATAGCAGAGGAAAAGTTTATGTGGAGAGAACATTTCTTCCTCTTGACAGCTCACAGAACTCTATGGAAATAAGGAAACAGCCTCAGGCTGAGTGACCTGTTGTCCTGCAGTCATGATGTACTGGCCTCCCTAGGCTAAACGTTGTGTTTAAGGGCTTGGAAGAATAGCCAGGCTTAGATGGCTAGCAAAGCAAACAAGGTGTGTTGCTATGTGCACCTGGAAAACAGGGCATCTTCTATTCTCCCTTCATCCCTAACTCTAGGAACAAGGACGGATTTTTGGCCAGCATGTATTCTTTACAGACCATGCAAGAGAACGTAGTAGTGCACTTTTTTTTTTTTTTCTGGTGGTGAAAGAGGTCTACATTCTGCATTTCTTTAAGCTAAAATCAATATAATTACTCTTGGTTTACAGCAATATGTGCCATCTGTTTTTGTACCATCTATTTTTCCTACCTTGTTATTTGATATTCATGCAAGTAGAGATATACTTCTGTAAAGCTTTAATATACATTTAATATAATTTTCAATACTTTCTTTTTTAATAACTTAGGATACAAAAATAGCTTCTCTTGAGCGCAATATAAGAGATCTTGAAGATGAAATACAGATGTTAAAGACAAATGGAGTTCTGAACACAGAGGACCGAGAAGAAGAAATCAAACAAATAGAAGTTTACAAGAGTCACTCAAAGTTCATGAAAAATAAGGTAACATCTATTAATAAAATAGCTTAGTGTTGCTTAAATAAAGGAAACAAAAGGTTTAACTTGATCCTTTCCTACACAAGCAGTTCTCTACATGACTTCTTTTGGTAAATCTCTATTATGCAATGCTTACTAGCTATGGAGGAATGAAACATTTTGGATGAAGAAATATTTGTTTACATTTTGATTTAGCAAGAGATAGGAAGAAGTTATTTCACCACTTCTGCAGAGGCTACTACAATCCCGAGTCTATACCATGTTCCCTTTTCCCTTTCTTATGTGTGGTGTTTTAATGTTAGCTTTTTGAATTAATTTGTAATTTTGACTTGCAACATTTTGGCAGAAGTTTAGTTGTGCATTTGTTCTTGGTTTTGACTACAGTTTTACAGCAAGGCATGCTGTACCACAGAAGATGTCAAATTGAAATCTTCTAGTATTTTGAAGACTTGCAGTTTAATAAATTTAATAATTTAATAAGGTGCAGAGTACCTTTAATTTCAAGTTATTGTACACAGATAATTGTGAGTTGACCATAAGTGGGTAGTAGTGATGTAACACATTTCCTGGTATAAAGCTCAAAAAACAGTATTGCTTGTTCATTATTTAAAAACACATCAGAAGTAAAGCTTTATGTCTAAATTGTTGTCCCACCTGGGCTTTTTACCTCCTTTCATTTTGATGTGCTTAGCTGCTGTCTCAGTAAAGGTGAGCGTTCCAAATAGTCTTTCTTATAAGTTTGAATATTTCTTTTCTGATATTTCTATAATTGCCTTGAAAATTGGAATAAGTATATATAGTGTTACAGTTTGTGCAGGATTTTTCTCAACTCTCTCCTTGAATAAAATAATTAAAGTACTCAATAAAAATAAAAATAAAAAAAAAAAACATTTGAAATTGTGGAGACTGAAGCTGATGCTCCCATTCGCATATAAATACATTTGGGTTTTGGAAATAGCATTTTAAAAAGCATTACTTTTAAGCTAAACTAAGATGGGGTGAAACAAGTCACAGAAACCTGAAGTGAAAACACTGAAGAGGAAAGCCAGCTATCTCATCTTGTCCAGTGATGTTAAAAATTTGATCATAATGCCAGAATAAAACCTAGGCAAATAACTTTAGTAGTCATGATTATTATGCAATCCTACTTTATTTTAAAAGTCTTTCCATCCTACTTATTTGCTTGGGTTCTCCTTCTCTTCAACTTTTAAAGAGTTTTACGTATGTGGAAATTGTGAGAAGAAGGTTATCAGGACTAGTCAGCATGGATTTACCAAGGGGAAATCATGCTTGACTAACCTGATAGCATTCTATGATGTGGAGACTGCATGGGTAGATGCAGGGAGACCAGTTGATGTAGTCTACCTTGACCTTAGCAAGGTGTTTGATACAGTTCCCCATAACATCCTTCTGAGCAAGCTCAGGAAATATGAGACAGAGGACCAGGCAGTGAGGTGGGTGGAGAACTGGCTGCACAATAGAGCACAATGGGTGGTGATCAATGGTGCCAAGTCCAGCTGGAGACCTGTAACTAGTGGAATCCCTCAGGGATCAGTGCTGGGTCCAGTCCTGTTCAACATCTTCATTAACGACCTGGATGATGGTATAGAGTGTCTGCTCAGCAAGTTTGCTGATGACACAGAACTGGGAGGTTTGGCTGATACCCCTGAAGGCTGTGCGGCCATTCAGCGAGATTTGGACAGACTGGAGAGCTGGGCCTAGAGGAACCTCATGAGATTCAACAAGAATAAGTGCAGAGTCCTGCACCTGGGCAGGAACAATAAAATGCACCAGTACAGGTGAGGGACCTTGGAGTCCTGGTGGACAAGTTCTCCATGGGACAGCAATGTGCCCTTGTGGCCAGGAGGGCCAATGGGATCCTGGGGCGCATTAAGAAAAGTGTGTCCAGCAGAACAAGGGAGGTCCTGCTGCCCCTCTACTCTGCCCTGGTGAGACCTC